ACTCAAAAGAATGATAGAGACAAAAATAAAAAACTCTACTTATATATATATCAATAAAATAAATATGTATATATATATATATATATATTAAAAATCATTTGATACTTCATTTTGTTAATTTAAATCAACGTATAAAAATGATTTTATAATTATACGTCAATTTAAATTAATGAAAAGAAATATTAAATGGATTTCAAATACTATGCATCGAGAATTTTAGATTTAATGGTTGGATCGTTGAAATTTGGTTAAATACCTATTTTGGTCCCTTACAATGTTTTTTTTTTTGTTTCAATTTAGTCCCACTTTAATTTTCGGTCTCAATTTGGTTCCCAGTAACTTAAATTAGTGCACTTTGGGACTTCCGTCCAAATGATTTAGACGGAGTTAACTGTTGGCCACGTGACATCTACGTGGATGCCACGTGAATACCACGTGGATGCCAAAACGGCAGAAAAAACCTGAAACCAGAACGGGCTGTTTTGATTTTAGAACGGGTCGTTCTGCTTTCAGAACGGGCCGTTCGGCATAAGTGGTTCACTTCAGTTTGACTAACAATGAAATAAAACTTGTTACCATTCTCCTCAGTGATACATTGCATCATCCTTAATGATATACTGTATAGCCTAAATGTTTAGTAATTGAAGTTATTAATTCTCATTAACAATATTACCAAATCTAACGTTTGAAATGCTTTGTATTTTGGTTTTTCTGTGCACGAAATTCTGGACCAGAACGGCCCGTTCTGAAACCAGAACGGCCAGGTGTATTCAAGTATTTTTGGATCCACTTACGTGGCATCCACCTGGCATCCACGTGACCACCAATTAACTCTGTCTAAATCATTTGGACGGAAGTCCCAAATTAGAACGATTTAAATTATTGGGGACCAAATTGAGACCAAAAATTAAAGTGGGACTAAATTGAAACAAAAAACATTGTAAGGGACCAAAAGAAGTATTTAACCTTGAAATTTTATGTAAAACATGAGTTATTAAACGAAATAAATCTACATAAATTTTTACTCTTAAAATAAATGGATCCTCTCTCTCTCTCTCTCTCTCTCTCTATATATATATATA